TCTCTCAAATAAATCCTACACAGTGTAGTGGAATACAATCCTTATGATACTGAAATAAAAAAGGGACCAGAAGCTCGCTGACATAACTACAATGCTGAAATTGAAGGCTATGTAACAGGTCAAAGGAGTAATATTTGAGTCTGTAGAGAAAATTCTTAATCCTGGTAGATTGATAATGGATAATGATGGTGATAAAGGTGGTGTTGATAGTGAGGATGATGAGGGTGATGCTGGATAATGATATGGTTGTCATTGTCATAGTTTGAGTCTGTAAAGAAAATCCTTAACCCAAGTAGATTGATATTGGATAGTGATACAAATGGTGTTGATAGTAAGGATGATAATGATGCGAGTAATGATATGGTTGTCATTGTCATTTTTGTTATCTTTATCATTATTAACATTATTATTTTATTATTAAAACCATTTTCATGTTCATTGCTATTGTTATTAGCATCGATTCATTATTATTATTATTATTATTATTATTATCATTACCATTACTATTATTATTATCATCATCATCTTCATCATCATCATTATTATTGCTACTTTTACTGTTGTTATTATTATTATTATTATTATCATTATCGGTAATGTTATTATTATTGTTATGATTATTATCATCATTCTTGTTATTATTACTATTATAATTATCATCATTATCATTATCATTATTATCTTTATCATTATCATCATTGTTTTTATCATCATCACCTTTAGAATTGTAATTGTAATTTTTATCATCATTATCTTAATTATCATCATTATTGTCATTATCATTATTATCATCTTTATCATTATTATCATCATTATCATTATTATCATCATTATCATTCCCATTATCATTAGTATTATTATTTTCACTGTCATTAACGTTATCATTTTTGTTCTGTCATTATCATTATCATTATCATTACAATTTCTACTACATTTTCTACTACAATTTCTATTACAATTTCTATCATATTTCATGGATAGTGGTAGTACTAACAATATTGTTTTTGTTATTACAGTTACCATGAGTCCTTTTATTGTCATCATTATTATCTATAGCACTGTAATCATAAAATATAATGATCGCTCTAAGTATCATTAATGTAATCACAATCATCATTACAGTCTTCCATTTCAACATCGAAATGCATACCATTATCATGCTTACTATCACTATTTCTAACGATAGTCATGAACATCATCATTGCTTTTAATTCCCTCTAATAAATCTAAAAAAAAAAGTGTAACGTAATACAAACCCTTAAATACTGAAGGAAAAAGGGGCCTGAAACTCGCTCACTGAAATTACTGAAATACTGAACCGGAAAGCTGTAGAAAAGAGGTTAAAATTTCGAGGATTCGTGACTGATGTTTGAGTGCATTTAGAAAGGCCTTTATGTAAGTAATGTAATATTCGATAATGATGATGTTGACGATGTTAATAATGATGGGATAATGATAACGCCAATAATCACAGTGATAATGATAATAATGGTAATAATGATTGGTATTATCATATTACTATAACAAAAACAACACCTGACAATAACAGTATTACTATTGCAACTCCTATTACTGAAGCTAAAATTACTACTGTGTTTACTCACTTTTCTACTATTATTGACGGAAAAATGATGATGATAATAATAATGATAATGATAACGATTTTTAAAATGATAACAATGAGGATAATGATGATAATAATAAAAATAATGAAAATACTACTAGTAGTACTACTACTACTAATAAAAGCAATAACAGCAACAATAATAATAATAATAATAATAATAATAATGCTGATCATGATAACAATAATGATTATGATAATGATAATAATAGTAGTAGTAGTATTAATGATGATAATAATAATAATAATAATAATAATAATAATAATAATAACAATAATAATGACAATATTGATAATAATAATAATGATAATAACAATAGAAATAAGAATAATATGAATACGAATGATAATAATGATAATAATGATAACAATGATAATTACAATAATGATAATAGTAATGACAAAAACAATAATGACAATAACAACAATAATAATGATATTAGTAGTAATGATAAAATTGATATTAACAATAATAATATTAATAATAATAATAATAATAATGATGATAATACTACTAATAATAACAATAATGGTAATGGTAGAAAAACCCACAATGTAAAAAACTAGATTTATTGAAAATGAGTTTCTTTTTCAATAAATCTAGTTTTTTACATTGTGGGTTTTTCTACCATAGTATCAACACGGTAGAGTGTTTTCTTCATTCAATAATAATAATATTGATAATAATAATAATAACGATAATGATAACAACAGTATTTATGATAATAATGGTGATAATAACAATAGAAATATTGATGGGAATAATGACAATAAATGGTGATGATGACAATGATTATGATAATATTAAAAGTAATAATAAAAATCATTATACTAAGAATGATGAGAGGAAGAGCAATGATAATGCTAAAATATAATAATAATTATAACCATAATAATAACAATAACAATAATAAATGAAATAGTAAATGGATATGAAAATGATCATGATAATACAACTACTAATTAATGCTCATATTATTATTTTTTTTACAGTAATAATAATCATAATAATAACAATGATATCAATATTAATAATAATAACGAAGGTAACAAGATAATCAAGTGAACAATAATCATAAATATAATAATAGAAGCAGCAACAAGTTTACCACTCACTTTTCCCTCTCTACGGATCGGATTAAATTCACCTGATCCGCAAGAGAGGGAAACGTGAGTGCTAAACCTGTTCCTCAGTAAAACATTATCGTGGAACAACAAAGGCGCTGTGATTTGTGCAATGTTGCGTGTTAATTTGTAACATACAATTTTTATTTTATCCCCTTTTCCCCCCCCCCAATCACTTTCGAAGCACGTTTCCGAGCGCCATTTCGAAAATTAGTTAACGAACCTAAATCGCGCTGCTTCGAAGCCTCGACCAATACTCTGACACAATAGTTTCCGCGTCAGAGCTCCATCTAGTCTTCTGCCCGGACGCCGTAATAAGATTGCAAAGTGTAATGGTCATATGTGCACAAGGATCATTACATATGAAATGGTTTCCCCTACGAGGTTTAATGTCATGAAATGCAACTGGATAGTTCTCAAAGCAGAAGCAGGATATTGTAAAGAACGGCATTTCACGCCTCGCTTGAGTGAATCACTGGCCTGTTGTGCAATAACGTGTTGCAATAACATGTCCGTGATGAGATCAAAGGATGTGTGTGATCAGATATACAAAAGATGAAATAAAAGAGAATTTAGCTGAGTCCGCCCTTCCTGTCGTTTGAAATGTAGATCAAACGTCTATCTTCATCGTT